AGATCTGTAGAGTGTGAAATATTAAGGAATGCTACAATTCAATTTTGACTCACATTTACTCTTTGTATTTTTTGCATCATCCAACTCAAATTATAGTTGCAAGAATATAAAGGATATACATAGTATGTGCATGTCTTGAACATATACTGATGAAATTCATTACTTTATAAATATCAAGGTTTCTGTCATTTTACAAATGACAGGACACATGTAACAGATATATAAAGTCACACCCGCAACTAAGATTGAACAAGGCACCTTGAGCTGAGCTGCCCATGGGCAGACAGTTTAAAATTTAAAAAAATTAATAATAATAAAAAATCAAATAAAATCAAATCAGAAAAAATGACTTCTTGAGAGAATTAAACTAAAAAATTTCATTTCCCATTATCTGAACATTGGTCAACTATCTTATGGTTTCACTCATTCTTTTTTTATCCTGCTGTTTTGGCATAATTTAAGTACTTAATGGCTTTTAAAAAAAATTAAGAGTGGGCTGGCCGAGTGGCGCGATGGTTAAGAACTGGCTTGGGATGCCAGAGGGCCCCGGTTCGGATCCCACATATGAGGGCCAGTGACACTGCCCTCTACAACTAAGATGCTGAACAACAGCTCAACTTGGAGCTGGGCTGCCATGAGTCGCCAGTGACGGCGTGGGCTGCAGCCCCTGTGGCAGTTGGTTGCCATGGGTTGCCATGGGCTACCATGTGTAGCCAACAGCCAGCGTGAGCAGGCAGCAGCCGCTGTGAACTGCAGTGCAGAAGCCGGCGACTGATTTGCCTCGCCCGGGAAGAGCGCAATGATGGTGCCAACTTGGGCCAGTGAAGCAACGCTCTCCACAACTAGACTGAAGAACAAAAGGACAGCAACTTGTCTGTTCCCCTTTCCCCAATTCCCTAGCGCTGTTCCCATCCCCCCAATTCCCCAATAAAAATCTTAAAAAAAAATGTGTATACATTTAAAAAAAATAATTAAGAGTTAGTATAGATAAAGGGCTTAAAAGCACCATATTAGTGTATACAATTATTATTATTATTATTTCTGACTCTAGAAATTAAGAGAACTAAGAATATTCTGAGGGCACTGAGACTATTTCACTATATATTTAGTACTTATACAGCACAGGTATTTCCAAAGCAGTCTCAGGAAACATCACACATTTCTTTTCTTTTTTTTCCCCACACAGTTCAATAATACTTCATGCTGACTATACAGAGAGTGGGGCAGATAGATGCATAACAGGAAGCTATACTTACACCAAGATTCATCCTGATTAATTAATTACATTTTCTGACAACTAGTATGATGTCACAACATCCAAAATGGAAACTTATTTCACAGGTAATAATGTCTAATCCATTGATAATAAAGAACTTCCCTCAAATGTTTATAAAACTTATCTCTACCTAAAAGGAATGTTCTTTTTTAGTGATATTTTACAAAGAAAAATATCTAAAGTTTTTTTCTTCTTAGTTAGTTTCCCTCTAAAGTTTATTGTTGAGGTGGGTATCATAATATAGAAAATAGACAGCTACAATAGAATTAAATATACTATTTCAGTGATCAAAATTGTTTGGTCATAGTCTGGGTATGAGGAGAAACCAAGGGATTACTGTTTCTGCTAGGTGTGATATTGATATTATGGTCACCTAAGAATATAACTATATTTTTCAGAGGTACATACTGAAATATGTAAGAGTGAGTTTAAATAATTTCTAGGGTTAAAAAATAATTCAGAGAAAAAGAGAGAAAGGGATAGTGCAGCAAAATCTCGCTAGTTGTTAACCTGGGTGATAGGTATACGAAGTTGTATCGTTTTAGTGTCTACTTTTGTGTAAGTTTAAATTTTTTACATAATAAAAAGGTGGTTTTAAAAAGACAAATTCAAACAATTGGCTTAACAGTTTTGTTTGTTTGTTTGTTTGTTTTGCATCGGCACAGCCTGAATTAGATGGAGAGAATTCTGCTATATTTGAGCCTTTCTGCTAAAAGGATTGTTTCTCTAGCTCAGGGGTTCTCAAACTTGAGCGTGTATCAGAGTCACCTGGAAGACTGGTTAAAACATTGCTGGGTCCCACTTTAGAGTTTCTGATTCAACAGGTCTGTGTAGGGGCCCAGGAAACTGCATTTCTAACAAGTTCCCAGGCGATGCTACTGCTGCTGCTGGTCCATGGACCACACTTTGAGAACCAACGCTCTAGCTACACCATCTCTTCTAAACCATCCTGGCTTATTTTTCTGCAACTAATTCCATTTCCTTTATTATTTCCAGTCAAGTATGAGTTTTAACTGTCCACATGGGCCAGTTTCTAATCTTAATTTATTCTGGATTATACTGAGAGTCAGAATTGTAAGAATTTGGTGTTAAGGCTCTTCACGGTTTGGTCCTGACCTATCTAGTTTTCCCATTTTATCTTTGTACTCCTGACTCCAGCAGTATCAGGCTATCTGACCTCTAAAACAAATCAAGTATATTCCTACCTCACTTCCTTTGCCCATGCTATTATCTTCTGCTGGAAGGCACATGTGCATTTACACACACACACACACACACTGAGTATCCAAAGTCCAGTGCAAATCCCTCCTCCTCCATGAAGCTCTCCTTGACTACCAGCAACCACAGTGATCTGTCCAACTGGAAACCTCTTATTTTACCTTAATCATATCCCATCTTGGAAGAGTTTTTATATTATTGTTAATTATATGCATGCATCTTATCTCTTCAATCGACTGTAAACTCCTTGAGGGCACGGGCTGTGCTTTATTCCTAACTTCTTTGTACAGGCCATAAACTTTGGCCCAGAACCATGTACTTAATAGGCAAGTTCATTATCCCTACAAACGTGGGGGGTGGAGGGAGGAGAGAATACTTACTTTTTCTCTAAAGTAAATAATGGGATGGAACCTGAAGCCTACAGATGTAGAAGCATCAGTGAGAGGCTAATCGAATCCTAATATCTATTTATCTCCAAGCAGAGCTATGAGAATAATTACTGTTTATGCAGGTCTTTGAAAGGAGCTCTAAAAGGGTCCAGAATGATGATGGTGATTCCCGTGACTCTTTCAAAACCTCCTACCACATGTCACAGCACCCCCAGGTTTTCGCAGATTGGGAAGAGAGTCGAGAGGGCTCCTCCTCTGATGGTGGCTAAAGGTGACTTCCTAAGACCACTTGGGATTGTCAGGAAAAATAACTTTAAAATAAAACCAGAGCTATTGAAAATCCCAACATAACACACTCGTAGCTTCCTGAGCAAAACTGAAGCCGAGATGCTTCTCTTCATCCTGTAGCAGAAAGATGGCTCCGTTTTCCTGGAGCCCGTTCTGTTGCTTCTCTTCTGATACAACCCCATTCGTTAGTCTAACTCACGGGCTCTCAGCAGTCAGAATTCTGCCTGCAGTTTTCTGGATTAGAATCTACATGTTCAAGTTACTGCAGCTCAAAGGTCTTTTTGATCTGAGTAAATAGATTTTGGCCTGTGTTCTTCAGGAAGCGTTATGGACTTTCTCTCTCTCTCTCTCTCTCTCTCTCTCTCTCTCTCTCTCTCTCTCTCTCATAGAATACCTCAAGTGGTCTCCTGATTACAAATTGAAATTTGTTCGTGACCCAAGCTAGAGAATGTGGCATCAACTTCTAAGCTCAGGTTTTCTCCAGCCTCCATTTTCCGGGATAACAGCTTGCCTCTCTTTTTGCTGTAGTCCTGCATCCTTGTTTTGCTTGACTTGGCTTGGTACCACTTTAGAAATCACTCACCAACCATAAAAAAAAAAGTCGTCTTTGAATCTGTAGCTATGAATGCCTACGTTAGACGAAAAGAAAAGAGCTCCGATACTTTTACAGGCCCAGGCAGACATGGGTACAGTGATAATTAAGCAGTAAATCACAAGGTGCTGTTAGAGCATGCCTCAGATGTGTTGGAAAAAGTTGAATGTCCTTACCTGCCAACAGAGAATAAAAAAAAAAAAGAGAAAGAAAGAAAGAAAGAGAGAGAGAGAGAGAGAGAGAGAGAGAGAGAGAGAGAGAGAAAGCCTAGTGAAGCTTCACCAGACAGGGCTTCTACCTGGCATGATCATAAAGCCACCCCTGGCTTGTATTTCCAGAATGAAAAATCCAATGTGCAAAGAACCAGGGTTATATTCCACACCAGATACTAATTCCCTCCTTAGCAGCAAGATCAGGTCAAACCATTTCCTGGTTGGCAAGTAGCACCTTGGGTTTGACTAATGCATAAGATTAGAAGTCCTCAGAATGCTATGATTGGTGTGCCAAGAAAGTCTGCAATTGAATTAAAACAACACCAGCAATAAAACTCACATAAAAGGACTCCATTTCAAACCCTAAATTAGAAGGTGTAGGTTTTGAACCTGGGTCTGCTATCGGTCAACCAGGATCTCAGGGCACAGCGACTCCCTGCTCTGGCCTCGAAGGCTCATTGTTGGCATTGGTTCCTGCACAGGAACACCAATGTGGGCGGCCCTTGATTCCTGACTCAGACTTTAGGAGAACAAACAAGCAAGCAGTGGAGGACTAAGTCTCTGACTGCCCTTTGAACCCAATTCAGGATATGCTTCCGTGAAAGGAGGTCTCCCTCCTGTGCAAATGTGAACGATGGTAACTTAATGGGGCCTCCTTCCCACTTTGATAGGGAATTGCTTCCTGAGGCATACGTACCTAACTGGCTTACCNAAAAAAGCCAAAGCCTGCGGCACGGGGCGGTGCTTAGTTACTGTCTAATCGCTATAGCCAGACAGCTCGAAACCTAACCCAGCGCCAGCCTTTTATAGAGGGTCCCTGGAGCCCCGCCCTAGCAACTTCCCCTAGCAACGCCTCGCCCTGGTGCTCCGCGGTCTTATCGGCCTTCGCCAGGCTCTTCCTGTTCCCCTCCCCCCGCCAGCTCGGTTCCGCGGCCCGGCTCACGTGACCCGCCCCAGGGGAGGGGCGGGGCGAGCGGAAGACCTGAGGGGCGGGGCGCCTAACGGCGAGGTAAACGTCATCAAGGTGCGCCGGGCCAGTTGTGGCGCTTAGGCACAGGCAGTCAGTTTCCGGGACTAGGTGAAATGGCGGAGACGGTGACCCTGGTCTGGATTCGTGGCCCCGGCTTCGGCTGCAGGGCGGTGCGGGCTGCCTCGGGCCCATGCTCCGTCCGAGACTTTATCCACCAACACTGCCAAGATCAGGTGAGGTTCGCGGTTCCTGGAAGGAAGGGGAAAGATTGGGTGCGGAGAGGGTCAGTCTGGGGTGCGTCTGTTCTTTGGGGTTTTCGGTTTTTAAGGCTGAGGGTTCCTCAGTGAAGGTGCTTCAAACTGATGCTGAGGCCTTCCTTTGCTTTTGTTTTTGTGCCGATTGTTGTTTTGTTACCCCATAGAAGGGGGAAAAACCCTTTCGCTCACAGGCCCCTCGTCCCGCCTTCTGTCTGGACTAACAGAAAACACTTAGGTATTCTGTTTCTTCATCCATATATGAGGCAGTTGGACCAGATGACTTTTAAGGCTCATTTCCTGTATTTTCCTTACATTCAGCCTATGGTTATGTGAAATGCATTTTGTCCACTGACCAAACATCCATTTTAGCTCCAAACTAGAGAAAAATGTGTGATGTCCAAACCCGGGCCAAAGGATGGTAGGGGAGGGAAATGGATTTATCTGGTTACTAACTGTTTGGGGCCAAGTACTCACACACATATCCTGTTGAGGACGTGGGTTCTTAGGGCCT